GTATAAATTAACTAATACTACTACAACCAATTAATTTTTTTAATTTGAATTTATAATTAAATAAAATAAAATATATTATAAACTACTTTAAATAACAAATTTTTTTAAAGGAATTCAATAATTTTAAATGAAATTTATTAACATATCCAAAGAGATAAATTTAATGTGAAAATAAAATTTATAAATATACTTAATATAGATTTTTTACTATAAAATATAAATTTTAAATATCTTCAAAATTAATATTTCTTATATATTGGTTCACAAAATAGGCATTATAATCTTTAAGAACTTTAGTTGTAACTTCTAGACATATAAAAAATAAAAATAAATAAAAAATCTTAATATCATAGGATTTATTATATACTGGATCTTATTTTAGAAATCTATTTCTATTTATTTATTTAAGTCATAAATATATTTTTATATATTTATATTTACATGAAGAAACCTATTTAGCAAGCTAAATGATTATCACAATCATTTAGATACTTCATCATTTCTTAAATTACAAAAGTCATTTAAGAATTAAAACTTTAAATGATAAGAATAATATAAAAAAAAATTAATAATAATAATTATCAAGTTTATTGCAATGTGTATTTAAAACTAAACACCTCAAATTTCTCAAATATTCTGTTCAGAACTAAAATGAAATTATGGTTTTATGTAAAACTAAGACTCGTCCAAAACCAGACTATGATGAATTTAAATTAATAGATTATAATGTTTAAAATATTTTTGCAATAAAATATCATCAAATGATACATAATAAATAAAGAAAAATAAAAATTTTATATATAATTTAAATAAATTAAAATAAATTTAATTTATGGTATTGTATTTATTTAATTTATTTTTAGGAATTATATACTAAACTAAAAAAATCTATAATTTTGATATTGTTTTGTGAAGAGAGTTCTTTCTAATTAAAAAATTGAAGATCAATAATTATTTTATTTACTGAAATGTTTTTATATTTATTCTTAAAATAAATGCAATCAATTAAATTTTAGAAAACTTATAAGTTTTTAAATTTTTATTTACCATCATGTTTGTATTAAATATTATCAAACAGATTTATATTATTTATTGTTTAATAAACTATTTTTTACTAATAATTTTTTATTTTTTATTTTATACTTTATTCGCCTTTTGGATCATAAATTTTAAATTTTAAAACTTGTAGAATAATGTCTCTAAATAGAATCGTTTTTTAGTTAAAAAAATTTCTAAATTATATATTTTGATGTAATAGGGCTTAGTTGGAGTACTATAATCAACATCTTATCTAATAAATAGTTTTTAGATGCCATTAAGAATATTCAAAGAATATTATGGTATCATATGACCACTTCTCTTTTATAAGTGATATTTGCATGTTTAGTATAAAATTGGCAAGTTTTTGACCACAAGTTCTTTATAAAAATTAAAATTCCAAGAACTAAATGCAAAAGCATAAACATACCTCCTATCTTGTATATCAACCTCTTTTTAGTTCTTCTAGTTCTTTTTTCTTTATAATTGGGGCTTATGTTCTTATGTAAGTCTTTTTTTGTTTTGTTTTGTTTTGTTTTTGTTTTTTCGTTTTTTTTTTTTTTTCTATTTGAATGTGAAATGAAATTCTAATAAAATCATCCAATATCTAAGTTCATGTTTAGCATGTTGGTGAATAATCAACAAAAACTCTATTAAAAATGAAAAAAAAAAATTAAAAATAAAAAAAATAAAAAATTTCTTTTGCATTGCAAGGAACTTTGACAAAGACCAAATATGTATATGGATTAAGTTATGGTTGCTAAACACAACTGGCCTTTCCAAAGAAATTACCACTTACAACTGATTTTTTTGTCTTCAATTTTGCCAAAGATCCAATGATCTAAGTAAAATATAAATCAAATCAAAATGCAAAATTTAAAGAAGAGGACAATGAAAAGGAATAATAACCTGGCAATAACAAATAGAAACAAAAAAAAGAAAAAAATATATAAAATAATCATGAAATCATAAAATTTGTAGATGAATCAAATTACTTTCATAGAACACACAAAGAAAATATAGACAAATATAAAAAAATAAAAAATAAAAGAAGTAAAACACCAATTTTACATGTATATTTGGATATATTTACATGTGTATATTTACATGTAATATATGGATATATATATATATATATATATATATATATATTCTAAAATATATTTTTTTCTTTAGTACATATTTTATAATATTAATTATTAATTTTTTTCTTTAATAACAATCTACAAGCAAGAATTCTTTTTATTAATATATTTATATAGTTTTATTTATTTATTTATTTTTCTTTATTAAATTAAAATTTGATAAATAACAAATTTTTTGTTAAATGTATCATCTGTAACACAAATTTTTTATCTTCTTAAATTAATAACAATTTTTTTTGAAATATAATATTATATAATTTTTGTTTAAAATATTAAGTGTAGCATCTTTAAAATATATGTGTGGATGTGGGTATATGAAAATATTTTTAGAATGCAACTTGTGGTAATTAAAACGTCTTCTATAATTTTTATAGATTTAAAAAGCCATTATAAAAAATCTAACAACTTAAACACTTATTCCAAAAGCATTATCTTTTAGTTAACTTTAAAATATATACTTTTACTTTAATCTTTTTAATATTTTTTCATTTATTTACTTTTTTACTTTTAATAATAGTAATAATATAAATTCAATATTATAAAATATTTTTTATATTTTAGAAGAAAATTTGGATTAATTTTAAAGACTCAAATCTTGAAAAAATATACTATGATTGCAGCTTTTTAGTCTTCAGTACTAAATTGAAGACTTTAAACTTCTATACTATGGTTTTTTTGCATTTATTTTTTTGTAATTTCGACATGCTTGTAAAATTAAAAATAGAAAAATATGTAGGAAATTTCAAAAATAAATACTAATACATTTCCGTATAAAGCTGTTAAGCATTTCTCAATTCTACAACTTTCATTTTGTTCAACACCATTAACATTTAGAATAAACACTTAAATAATTATGTTTGTCTTACCAAACATGAATCTAGCAACATTTTTTTACATCAAAATATTGCAAAAATCATATCGACACATCCACATAGAGAGAAGCTAAACTTTACTTCTTTTTTATTTTTTTGTAGATGTGTTTTGAAAGGTACCAACGCCTATGGTATCTACGGAAACGACACAATGAAAACACACTATGTTTGATGCGGAGACATTATGGAGAAGCCAGCCCTGATAGCGTGCGCGGTAGTGGTTTGGCATCGGACCCGGCACGGCACGGGATCCATCACCTCCGCTTCTACAAGGCTGCTTCCCGAAACCCTAAAACCCTTCTCTTGCCGCTGCTTCGGTTCACTAAAACTCTAAAATTCTTTCTCGTGAAGCGTGACTGCGTTGGTTTTTGATTCTCCACCACTTGCTTACTTACTTTCTGGTGTTCTCCTCTCCCGGTGAGCTGGGTCCATCTCCGATCCTTGAAATCGGATCCATCGTCGTCCGCTGACAACCTCAACGGTGAAAATTGATCGTCGATATCGTCTCTGATCTGCATCGCGGGCGAAGCTCCCTAGTGATCTGCTGAGTTTGGCTTGTTTGTTTTTTCAGTGAGGTTGGGTTCGCTTGTTTGTGGTCTGTGCTAGTAGCGTTGCAGCCTGGCAAGTCCACAGAGATGGAATCGCTTGATCCTGCAGCTCGTTTCAGCGGTGGCTCTGTTGTGATGAGCAGTGAGTTTTTTGCAAAACGTGGCTCAGAATGCGTGGGGGTGTTGAGTTCCTCTGGTGTTGGTTTGGAGAGCACCCTGGCGGCGAATTCTTGGTGTGTTCTGATCAGTTGGATGAAGCAACTGGAAGTGGTGGAGGAGTTCACCAACACCAGATGGGGATGGTTACGGAGCTGACCCACAATTAATACACTGGATGCAAATTCTTGCCATGTAAACTAATGCATTCTTTACGATTGGAGGACTAAGAAATTTTGCAGTCATCCGACTACGAATAAACAAATCCACCCACTTCTCCTATTCGTGCCACTTGTCGAGTCCCAATGACATTTGTTGAAAAGGTAAAGTAAATACGACACAAAATCCGAATACTTCAACATGTCTTTCGCAGAGGAAGACTTCTCGCCTCGCTGACGGTTCAACGCCGCTCCGCCAGCATCCAACGAGCGCTGTGTGTGGTCACCGCAAAGGGAATACCCACACACAAATCTACCTCTATCTTTTTAGTGCAGAGAACCATCAAAAGCCTCTGGAAACGGGGGAGAAGATGCTTGCCTTGTGACTCAGGTTCCGGGGTGGAGGAACCCATGCTTTGCTTCTCGAATCCCCAGTACTGATGCTACGTTTTCTAAATTGGTGAAGCGCGAGAAGCCCGTTATACTGAAAATCCTGGAGGGAGAGGAATTTTTCTTGGAGATTTTGGGTTCCAACGACGAAACAGGTGTTATGATAATCATATTACGGTGTGCGGAAGCTAGATTGGTATATCTCCATTTAGTAAGCAATACTACAGATTGGGTAGAGCAGGCTTTGAAAGTTACAACTCACGCCTCTCAGAAGCATATTCTCCGTAGACAGTGCCCCCTGCTCGTGGAGCGATTAAGCTGGTCTTGGTGGGGGCACTGGGCTAAAGTAGTAAATACGGTTAGATGAACATTGGGAGCGAAGGAGTTTGAGCAAATGTTAGGAGTTTTTTTTTTTTTTTTTTTTTTTTTGCTTTTGGTTTTGTTTTGTTGCAGTTATCCTGTCAAGAGAGGACGGATGAACTGGTTTGGTGGCCACCTCGCCATAGGTGCCGCGTGACATTGTCGCGGGCTCTCGCGAGCTCTACAGACGAAGCGTGGCACAGGTGGGTGCTTTTCCGTGGGTTCCTGCAGCACGTCATCGCATCGCCAGCTGCACCGGCCGATGTGGCAAATGATCCTTGGACATCGGAGGGAGCAATGCCGGCATTGGGGGTCTCGGGCTGCTCATATATAGCCTCGTGGTTATTGTCATCTAGAACCGGGGTATCAATCAGTTACGGTTGTTCAGCGAAATTTCAAGTTTGCGACGTAGCTTGTTGTGTATTCATTTACAAGCATCAGCAACGAGACTTGTGGAACGATGGCGAGTGTTGGGTTGGGCAGAGGGCTGGCTACGCCGCTTCTGGCTATCAATTTCGCCTTGTACTTGGTAGCGGCCATTTTGGCAGGATGGGCGTTGAACAGGAACTTTGATGCGGCCATCAACCGCGGTGAAGGCGCAGTCGGTACGTTCATCAATGGCAACTTTAAGATGTAGCTGTTTTAGGTGTAAGTCGCCGGGAAGTACGTTTTGGTAGTTAGTTGCATTGTTTGACTGTACCCTGCAGCTCCATAGTTGAACACTCTTTTGGCGCTGGATTTTTTGGAGTTTTGGTCTGGAAGCGACTGTTAAAATTGATGTCGGAATACGGTTGCGCATGCGCAGGAAATAATGTTACACAGGGCTTCTTCTTGCCGGTGGCACTTATCGCCTGCATGGTGGGATTAGCGTCAGTCTTGGCTGGGCTTCATCACATGCGTGTGTTCAGGAGTGAATCTCTCGCTGCAGCTGCTGCCACCTCGTTGATCGCCTGGCTCCTTGTTCTTCTCGCCATGGGGTATGCTTTACCCTTTCTCTCTATCCTCCGGACCTCTTGCTGAGGGTTTACTAAATGACTTTTCTTCCCTATATTCCAAGCATTTGTGTAGCCCGCCGGTTATCTTGCCGATATGGTAGTCGTGAGGATGCCTGCAGCTAATCATTTTGTACTGATCGTCGGTGTCTTTTTTTGATTGTGTGACTCCAGACTTGCTTGCAAGCAGATCCACACTGGTGGTAACCGCCCTAGAAGATTGGTAAGTACTCTTCCATCAAAGAGAAATAGCAGAGTCTGTGCATTCTCCTTGACAACTGGGATTATTTGTAGACAATCTCTGCTCGTCTTGAATTCAACCTTCGGCGTTTCAATAGTGTTGGGAGCCCACCACTACTGCAGTTGAAATAGTCGGGTTTCATGGCTGAGCGCCCCAATGCTATTGTGCACAAAGAAATCATTTCTCATCTGTGCATGTTTCTATGAAATGTTGCAGAAAGTGGTGGAAGCCTTCATCATCATCTTGGCTCTTTTCGAGCTCCTGTACCTCCTCTCCCTCCACTTAGGATTCGGAAGGGCAGGTAGTCACCACGGAGCTGGAACTGGAATTGGAATGGGTGGAGTGGGTCATGGCCACGGCCACGGCCACGGCTCCCATGACCCTTCCATCCCCGCTCACAACCACGAACACCACGTCGACTACGGCCGTCACACTGACATGAAAATTCCTGTGGGCCACGTCCACAACCCTGCTCACCCAACCACCGTTTGAGCATCGTCGATCGATGGACTCGTGAATTGTTGTTCTGCTACCATTCCAAACACTCCGATCAGGCGTTCAGTCGAGATGGAAATTGCACCGAATGGTTAACGTCTCTGTATATGTGTGACCTGTAGTTCTAAAAGGACGAAGTTCAACTTGTCGAAGCCATAGTTTTTCGAGGTTTTCGCTCGTCTCGGTATGGACAGCTGCGCGAATAGGTGGTGCCGACAGTCACAGGGATCATCCTTGTTTCACGAATTTGTATCATATGTTAATAAACAAAACAGTTTTGGAGCAGTTTCACTGTCCTCTTCGTGACAATGTTGTCCATTTTATATTGAATGCTGTTGGAAAATGTTGCGTTGGAATGTGTGCTGAGGTCGTTCCCAGTTTGTACTTTCTGATGCGTTGATCTTCCTGAAAAAAGTATCCAAGGTCGCTATCGTCTTCATAGTTCTCAGTCCGTCGAATTGAGAACGGATACAAAACGGTCTTATAGGTGATTACAATCTGTTGGTGAGGGAAACGTTTTGTTTGCCACCATGATTGTATTTTTCATTCTTATTATTTATCTATGTATTCCGTTTTTGTTTCTTTCCGTGTTGTTTTCGCGTGCCATTGAGTATGCTCTTATGGGGAATACCTTTTCAATCTGTTTGAAGTAGGGGTAGGTTGGTCGCTTTGTCACAGTGGTCCATATTCTACATTTTCGCAAACCATGCAGTCCGAGTCTTATTTAAATCCCCTTTTCCCCATAGCACGATACATCAGCTACATGCCTCTATCTCAGCAGATTAGAATCATCATGCTTGATAACCAATAACAAGACCGCACGCTGAAGATGTTAGCAGTCGATAATTCGAGTCATGAGGATCCCCAGTGGTACCTCACTTGCCTAAGAAAATTTTAAACAACTGTCGAAATACTTGTAAAAATCGTTTAAACCACGCGGGAATTGTTTCAGTTTATCGGTAAATCCAGTGTCGCAACATTGATCTCTTTCTCCTTTTCTTTCTCCGCTTTCGCAGAGCCAGAGCCAACAGGTGGGAACACTCTTCCTTGTGATTTCTATGCTCCCTGTTTGACGACTTTTGGCACAAGCGGACCAACCCCCTCTGTACTACTTCCCCCCTCATCTGCAGATTTATCACTGCTGATGTGCTCAGGCGGGGAGCACGAAAATGGCCGCCAGACCTGACATGCTGTACGAAAGGAGCCAGTTACCGATTCAATAGAACCGTTGGGACCTTGCAGACCCGTTGGATGCACAACACCCTTCACGAAAATGTGTTGCTCATAAATACCCAGGTTTCCTCGCCCTAGCTGTCTGTCATGCTTGCATATTTCGCCGCCATTCCTACTTCTAAAGCCCCTTTTTGTTTCTTTCCTTCTTCCACTGACCGAGCCATCAGCAGCTTGTGGCTACCTGTTATCCGCTAGCTTCGGTTTGTAGCTGAAAGTTGAATTTCGTCAATTATGGCGATAGGAATAGGCCGTTCCCTGTCTGCCCCGTTGCTGGTGATCAACTTCATGTTGTACCTCGTCTCCGCTTGCTTGGCTGGCTGGGCTCTCAACCGCAACTTGGGTGCTACCATTGGAATCGGCGCCGGACCCATTGGTAAGTTTTTGCGTTCTTGTGAAGCTATGTGATTCTTAAGCTGCTGTATGTTGGCCGGCAGTGCGGCAATCTCATTCAGTTACAGTGCTCGTGTCGCGGTTTGCTTCTTTAAACGGCACTGTCTCGGAGACGTGTGTCATGACCGTTGCCGGGTGCATATGAATGCCTTCTTGCTCTCGCTCAAGTTATCGGACCTTGAGCGAGTCTGATGCAACTTTGAATGTCTTTTGCAGGCAACATTGTGACTCCAACCTTTCTACCCCTGGCACTCATTGCTAGCATGGTGGGTCTTGCTTCTGTGTTCGCCGGTATCAACCACTTGCGAGTCTTTCGCAGCGACAGTCTGTCCTCAGCTGCATCCACCTCCCTCATTGCCTGGTTGCTCACTCTTCTTGCCATGGGCGTCGCTTGCAAGGAGATTCACACCGGCGGTAGCAACCGCCAGAAAAGAATTGTAAACTCCATGCCCCACTGTTCTTAGCCTTTATTATTAGTTTTCATGGTAGTTGATTGACTTGCAGTTTGGTTTGTTCCGATACAGTTGTAATGTGACACCCCATATTAACTGCTGCATTGTTCTCCATGCGATACAGAGAGCTCTTGAGGCGTTTATCATCATTCTTGCTCTCTTCGAGCTCCTGTATCTTCTGTCGTTGCAAGCAGGCCTCTTCGGAACCAGCGACGGGGGTTACGACGAAACCAGGTCTGCCAACGCCAAGACCAGCACCACATACGGCACGCCAACCGCTGCCGCCGTCTAACGACAACACGAGAATCACATTTTTCGAGCTTTCTGAAATGTCGATGTGTTCTTATTGCCCTTGTGTCTACCAGATTAGTGACATCCTATGTTCAGCTAAATCTTCCAAGGAGGAGGTGAATCAAGCTTCATTTAACATTGGCAGGAATGACTTCCTTGGCCAGGAAGAGTATTTATTTGTGCTACAGATTCCCACTTCACTGTACCGTTTGTCCTTGAATTTATGCAAAATGTTTCCGAATTCGATACGAAACCAGTATTCGTCTATTAAATCTTCGCTTCCTCTTGTCTGGAATAAAAAGTGCGACTTATTTTGTAATTCTCATCTGAGCTACCTGGTACTCAACTACGAGCTTAAATTTTTCCTTGCTGAACCATGGAGGCTTATGGTTTTTCCTCAAACATTCGAAGAATACTGGCCCAACACACTGCTATGCGGCAACATTTGTCGAGGTCTACGTCACATACAGATGCTAATGATCAGTGGAAGCTCACTGTAAGCAGAGTGGAGCATGATGTCTGAGATGGATTGAACAATGAACACGAAATCGATGAAGTAAAACAGGCAATAGAACTGCGGATTTTAGGCTATGGCTAGAGTGATCTGGTGTGAAATTCCTGATCATCCTCAACATTCCTTACCTTCCATCTATCCAATGCACCAAAAAACAGCAAAACATTCATTTTTCTCCTGAGGGTGGAACAGCATCAAACCCACATCACTTCAACAATTCTGCTGCTCCTGCGAGGCTGACACAGACGTGGGAGTTGGGATTTTCAAGCTGCAGACATTCTTAATAAGATTATTCATTCTGACTGTTGAAGAATAGAATGGAGGTGGAAACCAGGTGTGCAAGAATCAGTACAAAAGTACTAAATTGGTTGTACCTACTCATAACAATACTTATCCCTTATCTAACAGTGGATATAATGGTTTGGAAGGCGGCTCAACAGACAAAATTGTGCGTGTATTGGATCACATCAACATCTGGCAGTTACTAGATGCTTGTTATTCTCAAGGAATGTTAGACCAGTTGGATTTGGTTTTGATCTTGCATTCGTGTATGTATATCTGTGTATATCTACTTTTTTCTTTTTAGGGTAGTCCCTTTACATTATTGTAATTTCTGACATCTTTTATAAAAATACACATCGGTGAGTGGCATTTCGACGGAAGTCATTGAATATAAGAAGTTTAGAAGGGCATCATCTTGTCATTATGTTGAATCTTAACCTGATCTTTTTTATATACTTACTCTACCAGAAAGACCATGTTGAAACACTGAAATAATTTATTTATTATTGAATGTTTCGAACTTGTTATATACCGTTGACTCCATTTGCTACTATTTAAAAAAATATTCTTACTTAGCAAAATTATTATTCTTTTTACTTACATAAATTATTTTGTTTTATTTTTATTTATTCATTTCAATCTACTTTGTATACACTTATTATATGGTAATTAGAATGAATATTCGTGTCATTTTATTTGGGTTGATTCTATAGATTTTACACTATTTGTACATGTTAATAACTAAAAATTGAATTTCTCATATTATTTACTAATGCTTTGTTAATTAAATCTTAAAAATATATTATTTTTTTGTTTAGTAATAAATAATTCAAAAATAATAAGTACAATTGATTTCAAAATTAGTAATTTTAATGTTAACCTAATTGTATAATAAAAAAATACAAAGTTATCACATAGTATTTAAAAAGCACATAAATTGATAGTGTATTATCTATAAGATTTTAAAAACTAATTATTATAAATACATAAAAATACATATCTTATTATTTTATACTAGTAATTTTAAAATTATATGAATATTTATTTATTAGTATTTGGAACATAATTTATATTAAATATTAACATTTTAAAACTATTTATAACTTAAATGTAAAAAATATCATGATTTATAAATACAAAATATTTAATGTTTAGATACTAATTTATCAGAAATAATAATATTATATACATACTAGTATTTTTAGTTTAAATTTTTTCATGATTTTCTATAATATAATTTAAAATGAATTTAGTAGAAATAAATTAAAATTTTAAACATTATATTTTAAGAAAATAAATAAATTATGCTTCATGAAAAATAAACTATTTTTTTTTATTGTCATCTATGGTTGATTGTGCTTGAGAATTAAAGCATGCATAAACTATTTTTGTTACTTTGTGTACAACTTTTAAAATCACTTAATTTTGTATAAATTAAACATTAATATAAATTTCATAAATTCAATAATTTTGGATGTTAGTCAATTCTTTTATTTTTTATATTTGTAATTTATTTATTCATATTTTTTTAGCTAAGATTTATTTTGATCAAGTATTTATCTTTTTAAACATGTACTAAGTTTAGTTTGTTTCACTTTAAACTAATATGATTATTTATATTTGATTTTTTGTAATGTTTCTAAATTCTTATATATATATATATATATATATATATATATATATCGAGAGAGAGAGAGAGAGAGAGAGAGATATGTGTGAATTTTATTTTAAGTCTTAAAAAAATTCATAATTCCAAATTTGAATTTAACTACCAAATTATTATATCTCTTTTTTAAATATTACTTAAACCAATACCTGATTTTTTTTATAAAAAAAACTAACTTCTGTTTAACATGTTTAATCAAATAGAATATACAATATATTGCAAGAGCACTACCTCCCTCTCCTTCTTTACTCCCACTTCTTAAAACTTCTCTAAAGGCAACTTAATTACAAAACAAGAAATTCTATCATAATATATCTACATATCTATATTTTAAAATATTTTTAAAATAATTAAATTTCTTTTTATATTAGTTTAGAAGTAAAATTTACATATTTTAATTTATAAAATTGGTTAATTTATTTTTATTCATTATATTTTAATTTTATAATATTAGTTTATATTTCTAATGTAGTTATTTTGGAGACTATTAGTCTAAATTTTATAAAATATTGAATGTGGAATTTTTGGTTCAAAGTATATTATTATCTATTTGACAATTAGAGATACTATGACTTCTTCCAAGATATTAATTTTTAAGCATCCATATTTTAAATTTTTTTAGCATATATAATAAGCAATTAGAATAAGAAATAAAAATTTGATCTTATTTTGAAGAATATTTTTATTTCGTAACTTCATCTTCTTATTACTTTTATAAGTTCTATCTAAATTCTAAATTATTCATATTTAAATAAATTAGATAACTAAGTAGAAATTTAAAAGTTAATTATTTTCGTTAGATTTTACAGAAATTTCATTTTTATTTAAAAATGTCTTCAATGGCTTTTATATTTTTAGAATTGAAGAAAATTTATAAAACAATAATGTAGTTGAATTTGGAATTCTTTTTACCTATATGCACTTCCAAAACATGTTTGATTTTATTACTTGTTTCTAAGATATGCAAAAAAAATAATGGATGTACATTTTAATGGTAAATTATTATTTCAATTTATTTATAGCCACTCTTTTTTGCCATATGAGCTAAATAAGCATTTTTTTGTGTGTACTTAAAACCTAAATTATTTGTCTTACTATTTTAAATAACAAGTGGATTCTTTGATTATATTATATCTGGTAGTACTTAGATTTAATACTTGATAATTTCTAAAAATAAAAGATTTGCAAGTTTTTGTTCTATATATCACTATTTTTGTATATCTTGACCGATTGTGACCATAAGAATGGTTCTAATAGTTACATGAGAATTTGATATTCTCCTTACATAGTTTTTTAGATTTTGTTCTAAAGCTATTTCAAAAAAATTATATAAGCATTTTATTAAGTTGTGTGATTTTTTAGTTTTAAAAATAATTTTAATTAAAAAAAATAGACCAATTAAAATATGGCAATTTAGATTGTATATCAACTTGATTTGATTCAATATGTGAAAGCCTACAAAAAATAAACCTTGTATCTTTTTAACATTTAATTGTTGTAAAAGAAGAAATACTACAAAAAAAAAATGATTATTTTTAAATTTATAAAGTCTGGTTAAATTATTGACCTTAGGTGGTATAATTCCATCTCTTATTATCTTATATCAAAGATATAAAAAATAAATAATAAATAAACTCTCTAGAAATTTTTATCTTATCAAAATAGTTTATTAGTTTGTACAACTTCATATAAAAGTAGTTGATATTGGTCAAATATTTTACACACATTTTAAATTTTATAGAACTTTTGTGACCATAAATAATCACTTTTGTGTTAGATGTGGCTATTTAAAAATAAAAAATCCCAATTAGAGTATATAAATATATTCCAAGCTACATAGAATTATATAAGAAAATTCAGACGAATAAAAGATAATACAAAATTCTATATTTTGTCTATTCTTTTTCTAATTCGTGAACTTAGAACTCTATTTTCATTAAATATTAAAATAATGCAATATCAAGCTACTATTTATTTAAGATATTTAATTTATCGTTCATCATTTTATATCTAATAAATTATTATAAATTTAACTTTCTAAGGTAGAAAGTACCTATATATATTATTTACTTTGGATCAATAATTTTTAATTTTTTATATTTAAAAATTAGTATTTTAATCAAGAAAATTTAGAACTACTTAAAAATATTCTATTCTTTAACATAAAACAATTCTCATTAATTTCTTAAAATTTATAATAGCTTTAAATAAACTTATTAATATACAAAGAAATAAGAACAACAAATTAAAAAATTACCATTGTCTATAATGACACTTCAATCTAAACTAAATTTTATATATTATTAATAGTTAAGTTTATTCTTTATTCTTTTGATTAATATATGGTCAATGTTTTATATTTTTAGGGATTATCTAATAATAATAACGTTAAAAAAATCATAAATTAGTAAAAGAATTTAAAATCTACTAATTTTTTTATTAAAAAATTATAATTTATTATATTTTTAATAAGAAAAAAATTCAAATAATTTGTTTCTAATCTAGATGGTACATTAAATTTTCAAACTAAATTTATTGATACATGCACATTTGCTTCTTTAATTTTAATTAAGAAACAGTGGAATCATCAGCATATAATCTGTTTATTATAATTCTAATAGATATTTAGGCTATGTGCATATATATATGTATAATTTTTTTTTGTTATTTTTGTCTCAGATTGCTTCTTGATGGTCATATAAAGAGTTATTTTTACTATTTAAAAATTATGAATATTTCTATCTTTAAAGAATTTTTAGTTAATGTGTATAAATCTTCTTTAATCTTCTTGCTTATAGTTTAAAACTTGATTTAATGGGTTTAAGTCTATTAAAAATCGTATTTTATAGATTTTGAT